CGTCTTCTGTGGCTAGTTCCTTTACAGTCGTGGCAATCTGCGTCATATACTCGATCAGGGCCGGTGGGGTGAAGTAAATCCCTCCATGTACTGACAGATATGGGGTGGTGTTCTTGCGTCCATCTCAGTTTCTGGGTACCACTATCAATCAGCCTGAGTGAACATTCAAAATCAAACACCACGAACCATGGAAAATATCTCTCTTCAGTTTCGACGAATAAATCGTTCTCTTCCAACTCTTCAAAAACCATCCGGAAACCGCAAAGACATTTGACAAGTGCAATGGCGCTGGTAATGGCGCTGGTGTTTGTTACACTTGTTTTTGCAAGGGACAAGTGATTTCCGAATTTATTAACATTCATGTGTTCCTGAAACTGACCGCGAGATTTATACACGGGTTGAGCTATTCCTGTGACATCAAGACTAAACATGGTAACATTTCTACTGAAACAAGGTTCAAAGTGAGAGAGGTTGGACGAGGAGAGACTGGTTTACTGTTCGTGATGAACGCCTTTCAATGATAGAATGTAGTTATCCCGACAGTACATCACTCACTGATAGTGGAGTAGTTCTTTCTAAAGATGCTCGAACCGAAGGATCTCGGTGCACCGGGAAGCTCACAAATGGTCCTCATAATGTTGGCTACGATAATTACAACCTAATGCTAAAGTGGCTTTATGATGGTTAACATGATGAGAGAGCAGTACGGGGTGGCCAAGACGAAAATTGATTCTGTAAACACGGATTTCCATTTCGTATCAGAAGGTTGTTTCATTACAAAAGACATGACATCTAGGCTTTACCGTTTCTGGCGCAACCGTTCAAGATCTTTGTCAGTGATGTAGAGAGGACATTCACAGCATAGGGGTGCAAATAGAAACGACATGACATCTAGGCTTTACCGTTTCTGGCGCAACCGTTCAAGATCTTTGAGCTCAGTGACAATTTAGAAAATAGGGTATGTGTCTTACCCTGAATGTTAGAGACATAACACCACACCCTGACTTTTGATGTTTCTTGTTCTTTAAAGAATAACAGTTGTGTTTTCATAACACAAATATTCATTATGATATGAACTCTTTTATTTTTCGACAGTGTCCATGTTTCGTGAGAATAGGTGAGTAACATGACATTCGCCTCCATGTTTAAAAATAAATCTTATGAAATTGCCAGTTCGTTCACACATCACATGTAAAAGACATGTGTAAGTACACCTTGCCTTATAGCACGGTTTTAAATATGTGAAAGAAGGACCATGGTCTTTCTCTCTAGACTATTTCTATTTCAAAACTTACACTACATCGGTATTCCGAAAGGCGTTGCTGCGAGAAGGGACATTTGTGCTTTTTCAAGTCGTCATTTCTGGAAAAAGACTTGGTGCACTTCTCGCTGCTGGAGCGTTCTCCCTGGTGCGGGGGATAGATTATTCTTTCTGGAACATTCTGTCCCGCATGTGTGCGCAATTCGAGGTGATTAAATAATCAACGTTTCTATGAATCCCGCTAGATATAAAATAGCTTCTATACGTGGTTTTGAAAACGTTTTGAATGGGAGATATACATATTTTCGTCTGTAACATATACTGCTTCACTAAAACAATCATCATTACTTGTTGAATATTTACCCATAACTGTCTATAAAATCTAACAACATTTAAATAAATTAATTTGACAAAATATAACTTACGGGTTTGAAGAGTCACTGTTCAAATCTTAGTTAGGATTCACTGCTAAATCCAAAAAAGGTCATGGGATGTCTCTGATAATAAATTCTCTATTGAAAGAACTATTGCGCGTTGGGTGTTTTAATGGATGTTTGAAAAGGGATTGATACTCTATATTAAAATGCAAAAAGAGCTAGACCTTGTAGAAAGCAACCAATGCGCATGAGTTTTATGTTGTGGTGTGATGGATGGATGGATGGATGGATGGATGGATGGATGGATGGATGGATGGATAGGTGGATGGATGGATGGATGGATGGATGAATGTATGTGTGTATCTGGAATTCCAACCTGCCATTAAACGAAACCATTTTCCCATCGCCTTGAATGGCTATATGTATGCAGATGATATGTTCCGTCAAGCATAACTGTACTTGTGATATCATTTAGAACATAGGCTCTCATAAACCTTTTGGGTGGAATTTGTACCTTTACGTTTCAAAATTCTCAATGCTGCATTTTAAACTCTGTTGTAAAAATGGTGAGACATTGATAAACTATGATAAACTATATTGTATTGTATTGTATTGTACTTGTAAAGTTACACAGTATGGTACTGTCGTAACTGGGTTTTGGGTGTTAATAAACCCTACTACCAGTCACCTATTCAGATGGCCGTTCCACATTGTCAGGGGTGATGGAAGCTCAAGTTACACACTCGCGTGGTCCATGGGGTTGTTAAGTCTAGGCGTGAGAGGTCAGACGACTGTAACTCCTCAATAAACACATTTCATTCATGTGCTGGCACTCTAGCATACAATGAATAACTCAACACTAGGTTCTATACTCACATAGGTTTACTCGATCTCTCTCGTCATTACAAGGTGACGTGGTCAGGACAGGATAAGGCAAGCTCTTCACCAGATATGGAACTGATCGATCTCGATGCGAACGTTCTGCTGACTTTGTAACCCGCACCACTTTCTAGTGTTGACGGTTTCTTTTTAAGGTGTTCGAGCCTGCTCCACCCTTGTCACATGACCAGATACAATCCCTCTGATTCGTTTAAAGTTACATCATTCCATGGTCTCATGTCGTACCTCGTGATCAGAGGATTACTGTAAACTAATCGATGACTCACCGTTGATTGCTACTTTTCTGTTCTGTCACTGACAGTTATCCTGCTCTCTATTCCTTGATTTATTGCCCATCAGAAACAGTATTGATTTTATGAATAAATACTCGTAATGCTTAATAATAGATTTGTAATACGTTTCTTGAGTAACGTATGCATTTTCGCCTTATAACAATACGTATTAACTATATACACGTTTTAAATTCGTATTTAGTTCATATATAACTAGCAACTTATATTTTGCAGGACTCTTCAAAATTCGAACTGAAAAAATGTTATTATAGTATCTTCAACATTACGAATTTCGATTTAGTGTAAACGGTACCTTTAAACAGTATGGAATAATTAACAAAATCTAACTGGGAATAATTTGCAAAATCTAGTTTAGAACAGTTGACTGAAGTAAGGGAAAAACCTATGAAAAACCTATGAAAAGTTATATATGTATTCTTATATGAGCGGTTCCTGGTATGGTGATCTCCCTTCAGTTGTTGGCCATCTATAGCCCGTGTTGTATATTGTATTGTCTGCTTTCATTAAAATGTTTTAGTTTTCCATGCGAGTTGTAAGGGTTTTAAACTTCAAAATGTTTTCATTTTTTATTGTATAAATTGTTTTAGTCACGATATGGCTAAGATATTGCCGATGTGACGTTAAATGCTTACTCACTCTCTCATATATAAGGGCTATTTCATTAAGTATTGAAAAGGAGCCTCAGAGAAACATTAATGGTAGTCTTTTCAGTCAAAATCAAGACTTGACTCTCAGGAGGTGAAAGGATAAAACTCAAGCTGACAGTCACACTTTAGTATACCTATAAACGAATCCATAAACGAATCCGTACGTTGAATGAAAATGGTTTGTATTCATCTTGACCAAACAGCGAATATGGGTCGTCATCAACTCGCAACTGGTGAGCGCGCGCTTTTTGAAACAGGTTTTGCAGCCTAGTCGAGTTTTAAGACCTTCATTGACTATGTTTCTACGCTTTGTTTTCGTTTCAGGAGGGCCTTCTTTCGAAAAGGCATGAGCACATTCGACGAAATACTGTTCCCTTCACCTTTCTGACCTGTGACGTCTTGCATTCATTACCATATTAATTAGTCCTCCTCAGCAGGTCCTGTACCACTTTTTGACAAAGCGTACTTGCCATATCAAGTAGGGATGCTCTCAAATATGAGGAGGAAGATGACCTTTGAAAAATTAACAGTTTCAGACGAGAACCAAACGATCCCAAAACACTGCACTTTGCATGGTAAACGTCAACAGAAAGCAATGGTCAGTCCCGATCCCTCTAACCCAAACCAGCCCATACGTCCACACACCAACCTCTATCACCAATGCAGCATACTTGATCAAGAAACATATGCGCTGTGTACGGCGTTATCCGCAGAGCTTTAACAGAAGTGGTCATGGGTATCTCAAACTCAGAGATTGATTCGGACGGCGCCACGCCTTCTAAACAAGTGTATGACCAATCACGACTCCTTATAGTTGTCTGAAATGATCATGTTTCAACTTCGTCTTTCTAGGGTGTTTGCACCCTTACAACATACAGCCATTATCAAATCCATGGCATCCCTCGTCTGTATAACTAATAACATTACATTTATCAACTTACATATGGTTTCACAGTGCACAATACCATAGGGCCCCATGTTACAGGAGTTCACGGCACTGTACAAATGTCGATTAAATGGTCGCCATTCGACAAACAAGCAAAGGAAAATTAAACAGAAATTACGTGATTGTAGGTAAGATGATTCCTCACAAATGAGCAACATTTTGGATATTACGAAAATTAAATTCAAGAAAAGTATTTATGCTACACTAAATTAATATGTAAGTCTATAGAATTTACATCAAGTGTCCGAATACTTTTTGCACGATTCTGTATGTAGTATTCAACGAAAAGAAAAAATATATTAGCAGCAACATTTATGCAAACGCAATGTTCACTTAAAATATGTTTACTTTTAAGGTCGCACAATTCCTCTTCTGGTTGGGCAAGATAATCACACATTTTCGCGAACACCCTGTATTAGCACAGTGTGATATTTATTCATAAACATGGTTATAATATTGTCTGAAATGAACACTGCACTCTTCTTTGAGCAGATATTTATGTTGGTTAAGGAAATGGCATCAGCACCTTCTCTACTGTATTTCATTTTTTCTTAGAATAAATAAAAACAAAACAAATTGCCAATGAGCATCGTTTTAATATATCTAGCGATATGATATAAGTTTCAACGCATTCAGGAACGTTTAGGTTTGTTTCCAATTGGAAGTCTCTCAGTTAACTCAGATCAAGTATTCCCACGACTGTCCTGTTTTTATAATATATCAACAAGTTTTAAAACAGTTTAACCTCGTGATGTTGTTAGCCGTAATGTGACTTGAATCCCAAAGATATCAACGAATCTCTTGTAGAATATCCAAAACTGAGATTGTTCCAAACTGTTAAAATTCTTCAAGCAAACCATTCCATGGCCATGGTCTTCGTCCTACCAATACCCTCGTCATTGATACGCGTGAAGACGAGTGGGCTTTGGTTTTTATAATGCATATGGGAGAGGATTCCAGCGAGGTAGATGGTGTCATTGTACCCACAAGTCAGGGGACTGCCATGAAGATACTGGAAAACAACAGAGACTCAAATCGATGACTTCAGAATGTGGAGATTTTCACCCATTCAACAGACCTTTGAGACCCAAATTAGAAATGAACACTGGGCGCAATTGTGATGCCAACATTCACGGCCATTGTTCATTTTGACGATCCTCCAAAATAGTTTTCGTAGAGCAGTATCTTAAATCTTAAACCCTTATTCATTAAAGTGATTCATGTTTTGCCTGACCGCTTTGATTTAAAAAAATACATTTTGTCCTACCACTAATAAACCTACAACACTGTTCAACAAAGTCATCGTTTAAGGGTAGAATAAGATGTGATATTTGCAAAGCCACCTCGTTTGAAACGAATTTTAATGAATGGATGGAGAGGCTGTTGAGGAGAGAAGTATTGGTCTTCTGTCACAAAGAAAAAATGATGCTCATCTCGAGGTCTATTGATGTGGACTTAAATACTCCAAGAGATCAAGAGTGTAAAGTCGAAATACTGAAAACTAATACCAACGAATACACACCACGACCAATAACTTTCATCCAAAGCCGCTTAAAGGTCACCATTATTTTTTCAGCTTTCCTCGTTTCATCTTTTAAATAATGAGCTAAATACTTAAGGTACATGTCATTCATTTGGGAATCTGACAACAGCTGATGTCGATTTTGAATGGCTGTTTCTTGAGAGAACGATGGAGGAAGACGTATTAGCAGAGATAGGGGCTGAGGTAGACAGAAAGGTAGAGAAGGAGAGAGAGGGTATAAGAGTGTACAATGAGTGTGCACATACAATTTCCTAATAATAGAATGTATTCCCATTCTCAAAGCAAGTGGAGATTTAAGATTTCATAGATAATACTAAATTCTATACTGGCTAATATGTACGCGTGCTTATATTCTCATATGACTAAACATCGAAGTAGAAGGGATCTTCTGAGTAACCAGAGGTGTGACAGAGCTGAAACGTTATGAATTACGAAAGATGTGGCGCGAACCTTTTTCTAACTTCGAAACAAGCGTATGTTTTACATATCACTGTTCGTCACAAAGAGGCACACGTGAAGAGCCACCTCCTCGTGGTAACGTTAAGCGCTCTTCGACCCCCCGTTGTGGACCCGGCGGTATATTTTGTCCACCAACCCGTTTGCCGTGGGTTGCGCCCCTGTGTCGGTGGAGGACGGGATTCTGGTGGTTGAGGCCACTGGTTCCAGGAACAGTGTTCCTTTGCCCAACACACCACTTCGTCCCTGACTTCACCTAGACGGGTGGTTGAATGGGCCCGGTTCAACCAATCGGCTGGTCACGCCATCCCCTGTGCATTGCATTTCATATTGCACAAATGTTATTTCACTAATTGATCCTGTTTTGGGTATTGGCCATATTAATTCACGGAGCTTTTATTGATTTAAAAATTCAAAAAAATTTAAATTTGCCTAGTGTCGTATGCCCAGATGGTGGTGGCTCATGGGCCAATCCAGTGGAATAGTTATTCTGTTAGTTCGTCTGCCGGAGTATATCATCTGAGTATCCTTGGTGCTGCAAGTCGGAGACCCACTTACTTTTAGTATTGTTCTTGTGATACTCCGTGGTGGGTGGGGAGCTCAGATGATGAACTATACTACATTAGCTATGGCTTACACAACCCCCCTTCAAAGAAACAAACGTCAGTTTGACACTGATGATGATAATGATGAACCTGGACCGTCCAACTCAATCGAATATTGGCCACGATTTCTCGTTATCGATACTCTTGACAAATCGCCTATTAAATTAAACCCTTTTGCAGTATCAAAAGGTATACAAGGCATCGCAGGTGAGGTCAGAAATATCAAACGATTGCGTTCGGGTTCTCTACTTATAGAATGTAGTAGAAAACAACAATCCACCAACCTCTTTTTCGTCTCGGCTCCACAGGTCAGAATCCTGAACACAAGCAAAAGGATTGTCAGAGATAGAGATCGATTGTTTGCTGATATGACTGAACTTGACATCGTATCAGAAATGAAAGAGCAAGGAGTGACTTTTGGTGAAAGATTTACCCCCGAATAAACTCTGAAACAAAACCTACAAATATTGCAGGATATTGCAATATCACTGTTGATTCTTATATTCCCAATCCCCTGAGATGTTTCAAATGCCTGAAGTAAGGATATTGTGCCAATAACTGTACTAACTCGGTAACATTGTGCAGTGAGAACACCCATGTTACTGAGGATTGCAATAATACCATTACAAAATGCGTCAACTGCTCAGGGACAAATTCTTCTTTCTCCAAACAATGTCCAATATGGAAACAACAAATGGAGCTCAATAAAATTATATTTACACAGAACATCAGTTTTGCTGATGCTAAGAAACTACTTGTTTCCACACCAGAACCAAATACATCTTATGCCTCAATTACGAGAGCACTCTCTGTCGTCAGTCACAAAGCAACTGTATCGACAGACAGCTGAATCAGTTCGAAAAACAGCTCAAGTTCAGTCACGGTCATCTTCTCAAGAACAATCACTGTCATCGTCATTACAGCCCATACCAAAACATCAATCACAAAATATTGGGAACCATCTTACCAAACATAAAGTCAAAGCCAGAAATGATTTGCACAAATGTCAAATTAGCAGAGCCCCCAAACGTTCAAATGACAAGATCCAATTTTTCTAATAAGTTTGGATCTTTAGAGGACATGGATGTGTCCGAAAACATCCAAATTAGGGCACATGGCTTATCGCCCTCAAGGTAAGCAAGGGGTACATCCCCAATAAATCCCCCCAAAAGCTAATGTCTTTTAACAATATTGTACAGTGGAACTGCAGAGGACTAAGGAATAATTTAAATGATTTGCAGCTATTAGTCCAGGACTTCACACCATCAGCCATTTGTCGACAGGAGACATATTTATAACAGACGGAAACATTTGATTTACGCAATTTGAATGCATTCCATTCCTTTTCACCACCAGGAGAACGGGCGACTGGAGGATCTTCGATACTTATCAAACAAAATGTTATCCATAGTCCTGTTATACTTGATACTCATCTCCAGGCGGTTGCCGTACGACTGACGTTACATGTTGCGTTCACATTGTGCTCTTTATACATCTCACCGTCTTCAACCCTTCAGAACACTGACTCCCGAAACCTTGTATCATTATGGAAGATATAGATGGTCACATCCGCTCTGGGGTGGTGCAACTACTGATGCTAGAGGTGAACTGTTGGGGGACTTTTGTTCAGATAATTATTTTTGCATATGTAATGACGGTTCTAACACAGGAACTTATTCAGCCCTTGATTTGTCAATTATAGACTCAGACTTATTGAGTGAATTTGAGTGGTCGGTCCACGACGACCTGTGTAGGGATGGCCGTTTCCCAACAATGCTAAAAACGTGAATCCATCTGATGTTCCTCCATCATCAAGATGGAACTTTAAGAAGGATAACTGGCCTTTATATGAAACTTTCTGTGCTGAAAAACTCAAACCTGAACTTTTTCATGATCTTCCTGATGCCATAAAATGTTTTTCAGATGAGCTCAGACACATAGCTGACACGTGTATCCCCAAATCCTCTGCAGTTCTTCATGTACGTAAACCATGGTTTAACGCTGAATGCAAACAAGCTAGTAAGGCACGGAAGAAAGCTGAACATTATTTCCGTTGTCATCCTATGGTCCACAATTTCAACAAATTTAGAATTTTAAACGCCAAAATACGGCGTAATTTTAAACAAAGTAAACGCCAATCTTGGTGAAACTATGTCTCAAACATCAATTCGCACACACTGATATCGAAGGTGTGGAACATGATCCAGAAAATAAAAGGTAAGGGCTCTAAATCTAGCATTAAGCATCTCAAAGATGGAGATGAATTATTGACTGATAAATCTGACATAGCAAATAAACTTGGAGAAACTTTGGCCAAACATATCAAAATACCAGAAATATCAAAGACAGCAGGAAAAGAATCTATTAATTTCAATTCAGACAATGGGGAAGACTGCAATGAAACCTTTCCGATACATGAGCTTTATACTGCTCTTGACCATACTCACGATACTGCTTCAGGAGCTGATGGTATACATGATCAACTCCTGAAACACTTACCTGAATCATGTTTAGAGACGCTCTTCCTTATTTTTTATGACATCTGGACAATTTCCTTCGTCGTGGCGTGATGCTATAATTGTGCACATCCCTAAACCTGGACGTGATCATACTGATCCTTCCAATTATAGGCCAATTTCACTAACTAGCTGTGTTTGCAAGACCAGGGAACGCATGATAAATAATCGACTTGTTTGGTACTTGGAAACCAATAACCTAATAACAGATATACAATGTGGTTTCCATAAAAAACAGAAGTACTGTCGATCACTTGGTGCGTTTAGAATCATTTGTTAAAAACACTCTAATTAATAAACAACAGGCTGTGTCTATCTTTTTTTATCTAGAAAAAGCACATGACACTACATGTGGAAATATGACATTTTGTTTAAAGATTTACGTGGCTTTGTATTGCGAGGCCGCTTGCCTCAATTTATAGCCAACTTTTTAAATGACAGACAATTTCAAGTCCGAGTGGGTTCTACCCTGTCTGATCATTACAATCAGGATCAGGGTGTCCCACAAGGCAGTATTTTGTCTGTCACTATATTGAGCATTAACATCAACAGTTTATCAAAGGTTTAACCGATACAGTTAATGGATCACTTTTTTGTGGATGATTTTAATTAACATTTCTTGTCGCGGTAAGAATATGCATGCTATTTAACGGCAACTGCAGCTGTGTTTAAATAAAATAACTAAATGGTGTCTTGAAAACGATTTTCTAACTCCAAAACTAATTGTATACATTTTTGTAGAAAATATACACAGCATAAAGACCCGAAAATGTTTCTCAATGGCACTCCCATCAAAGTTGTATAGGAGGCCAAGTCCTTGGGTTTAATTTTTTACTCTCATTTAACGTTTCTGCCGCATATTCAATCCCTTGAAACTAAATGCCTGAAGGCACTTGACTTGTTGAAAGTCGTTTCAAATTCTAAGTGGGGAGGGGGATCAAGCCACTCTCCTACATCTATATTGATCATTGGACCGCTCGAAACTTGATTATGGCCCCATCGTATATGGTGGAGCCTGCAAAAGCAACTTAAAACTATTAGATTCTGTCCATCACCAAGGTCTAAGACCCTATAGAACTTCTCCTGTTGACAGTCTCTACGTCGAGGCAGATGAACCTTCTCTTACACAACGCCAAATAAAATTGTCCTTGCAGTATATAACAAAACTTTATTCTAACGAGTCTAACCCTCTATTCAAATGTGTCTTTAATCCTCTTTATGCGGATTTGTACAACAAAAAGCCTTCTCTTTTTCCACCTCTTGGTTTAAGAATTAAACCATTCATTTCCGTTGATGGCATTGAGCTGGAAAATATAGCTCCTTCCCGCCTTCTTTCTTCTCCTCCTTGGCAGTTGGTTAGGCCACAAGTTCACCTAACATTAACAGCATTTAAAAAAGCAGAAACTAATGAATTACAATCTAAACAAGAGTATAATCAATTAAAAAGTAAATATAATACATACAAATCCTTATTTACAGATGGGTCTAAGGATGGTGGCACGGTGGCTTGTGCCACTGTCATTGGATCCCGAACAATATCTTCTCGACTACCAAACAACAGCTCTATTTTCACAGCAGAAGCTAACGCCATCTTAACAGCTCTTAAATATATCAATTAACACCGCAAATATAAACAATACATAATATTTTCCGATTCTCTTTCATGTCTTCAGACTATTAAAAATCTTTCTCGTAAACATCCACGTTTAATTGAAATTATTGAATTGTATAATGAGCTTGCTACTGGCCAATGCGACATTGTCTTTTGTTGGTTACCCAGCCACGTTGGCATTTCTGGGAACACAATAGCCGATCTTGCTGCTAAGGCAGCACTCAACAAATCTGTGACACCACTTTTGATACCATACTCTGATTACAAAGCTGGCATAAGAACTTACATCTGTGATCTGATGCAGAAGAAGTGGGACACCCAAGAAGGTATCAATAAATTACATGAAATAAAACCCTATATCGTTTACACTTACTTGGGTTGTCAGTCCAGATTTGAAGAGGTCATCATGTGACGATGTTGTATTCGCCATACTAGATACACTCATGCATACCTATTGAAAGGTGAGGATCCTCCGTTTTGTATCCCTTGTGCTGAGAGAACCACGGTCAAGCATGTCCTGCTTGACTGTGTTGAATTCTCCATCATAAGGGATAAATACTTCAATGTGAAAACAGTTAAGGATCTTTTTAACACTGTTAATTTTCATTTAATGATTGGCTGAATGAATTTTGAATAATATGTTCTGTACATATATGTATACTGAAAGCCAATAAAACGCAATTGGTATTTGTTGTCCTGAAACTTACAAAAGTTCTATTGCAGATTTTGTTATTCTGGCCCATTTCGAGTTCGAGTCCCGGAGCATTCCTCTCACATGAACTTTAATACTTAAAACTGAACCTTTGACATTTCTCTTAAATACAACCACAGTCATGAAACACGTTGTGCACATCCATTACCTACACCCAGGCCCTGTAAAAGCACATGGAACTGTGGAACTCAAACAATTTGAGAAAATGCCACACTTGACACAAGACGAAAGGAATCAGTTTATCTGTATGGTCAGCCAAGGTGCTTCAGATGTGATGATTGCCAGGCACTTAAATGTGCATCCACCCACTGTAAGTCGACTCAGACAACGTTTTCGGGCTACCGGAAGTGTTGTTGATCGTCCGCGACCTGGTGCACCACCTGTGATTACAGCTCGACAAAACCGCAACATCCAAGTCTCATACTTACGAAATCGGTTCCAAACAGCTGATGATTAGGCAAGGAGGACACTTGGGACAAGTCAACGTCATATCAGCGCCCAAAAGGTGCAAGGACGCCTTGCTGCCTTCAACATCCGGTGTCGTCACCCGTACCGTGGTCCAACCTTATTGCATCGCCACAGACTTGCCAAACAGCGATTGGCAGCAAATGGGGCCAATCTTGGCAACAGGACATGGCCAGATGTCATTTCTTCAAATGAATCCGGGTTTAATTTATTCTTTGCAGATGGACGTCAATAGATTTATCGACGTTAAGGGGAAAGACTTGCGCCAAACTGTGTCCTTGAACATGATCGTTTTGGAAGGGGTGGTGTCATGATCAGACTACTGACCATCACAGGCTGCAGACCATGCAACAGCTGTTCCTGAGAAATGGGTGTCTTTCAATACCCCAAAGACTGCGAGCATGTCTTGCAGCGCACGGTGGACACACACGATATTGACTGCAAGTGACCCCTCCTTTGTGTGATGTCGTTGTTGCGTCACTGATGTTGTTGTCGACTGGACATTTTCAGATGAAATTATTCACAGATGTTCACTTAAAACATATCTGCCAGTTAGGTTTATATATGTTGAAATTAGTGTGAGTAAAGAAAGTATGAATGTCAAATTGCATTTTTAATGGCTTTTAGTATATTTTAATTATTGGTAGATTTGATTAGTAACTTAGATTGTTAGTGGCAGTGCCCTCAAAGGGCGTGAAGTAGCGTAAAATTATTGTCCTCCTGAGAGGGTACGTAAGTCCCAAAACATTCAAAGTAAATTTAAACCTACTACCATTTTAATCGTATAATATATGTTCGTTTAATTTATGGCTAGATTATCTAACATTGCTAATAGCTGAGGGGATGGTGTTAATCCAGCTAGGGTCCATGCAGGAAGTAAATGTACTGTAAGTCCCCAAGGTCCCTAGTATGGTTATCTACCTTCAGTTGTTGGCAATATATAGCCTGTTTTTACCCTGTATTGTCATCTATAGTTAAACTGTTTTAAATTTATTTACTAGTTTTAAATTCAAATCTGTGATAATCTAGTTATTTTACTGTCCTTGGTTGACAGGTTTTTATAGTTTACCATTACTTGCTATGCATACAATCAATTGTTATCGTCACAATATGGCTGAAATATTGCCGAAGTGACGTTAAAGTTTAACTCACTCACTCGACACAAAGATCTTTGACTATAACGATAGACTGTGTGTCCGACGTACCTGATCCATGCATCGATTTTCAACACAGATCGCGTTCTCATCCAGCTGTGCGTATTCGTTCAACATTTCGCTGCAATTTCGACGTCCAATGAAATCTGCACGGCAGTACGTTTTCTCAATCTCCAATGAACCTGCGCATGAACAAACAATACGTACACTGTCAACATTTCAAAAAGTTCTATCGAATTCTCACAATGCATGTTGAAATGTGGCCTCCGTCTGAGCACTGGAGCGAGGTTAAGAAAACGACCTTCACTTTAACATAGACTTAACGTACAGGCAGGGAAGGGTTATATGGCGCCACAATTCACTGAACAGGGATGCGGTAGGTTCGATTCCCGGTTCGCCCCATTGTGTTTCTAGGTTTGTCAGCACCTTACCCGTGCAGGTGTACCGAAGTGGTATTGGTGTACGACATGCATCACGTTTAGAATACTATTGAAAGCGGTGGTTGACCCACTCACTCACTTGAAGTACAGGAGCGCATTGTCGATTGACAGTCTGGCAGCAAGATGGGATATCGGTTACAGAGTGAGTGAGTAGGTGAGTTTAGATTTACGCTGTACTCAGCAATATTCCTGTTGTCGGTAAACAATTGAGTCTGGACCAGACAATCCAATTATCAACATCATGAGCATTGATCTACACAATTGGGATACGATGCCATGTGTCAGCGAGCTTGATATCAGTACATGTAGTCGCCTCTTACGACACGAGTTACTGAAGATCATTTCTAACCCGGATCTTCATGGGGCTATCGGTAGAGGAGGATATATGAGTACATGTCCCTTCTTATTCAAGAACCGGCAGTTGAATGTCAAATGTCAATTCGTTGTGCATATTAATTGCATGCGGGAGCACTGTATGTAGGAACAGTTTTTATTTGGTGCTTAACAGCGATGCCACAGATGAGTTGACATAAATCGCTAATTGGTCATCAACTTTCTTTCTTTCGTGATACAGTTGAGGACGTTTCACTTCTCACCTTTCTATACAAGCCTTTCAGTTTGTACACATATTCACGGAACGCGGTTAATAATACGATAATCCTCTATATTTTTTTATTTTATGACATAATCCCTTTTCAACAAAACCTTTTTAGAATCATACTAGATGAAAATGACACCGATTAGTCAACAATAGTCGATAAACAACCAATGTGAATACTTGAGACATCCAGTCTATATTTAAGACCTATTGGTTTGTCAGTATTCCCCTTCAAGGTCCAGTTACACTCTATAAGGATTCATCTTAGCACAATAACAGTTGTATATTCTGGGACAACAATATGTATTAGTGTACCCCGACTAATTAAGATTCAATTCTGATCTCACGAGAAAAAGGAATAGTATCCATTTGGATGGCCAGCTGTTCTATCGGTTTATGAAGTAGAGACAGAGTACAGAGACAAGTTTCGGGCACAGGAGGACAATGGCTGCCAGTGAGAAAGGGTTGACGCCGCTTTTAACGGTGTTTAATTTATAGCACGTGGTGTTAACAAGTTATGGGAGGGGAGTACGGGGTGATACAGGTGCCACACAACCAGAGACACCTGGTGTTCGAACCATGTGCCCTTTACACTACTCAACGATTTCCGACCCCTGGGGCAACTGGAAACCTATTTGGTAACACTGGCACTGATTTACGGAAAACAACCACAAATGACGGGAAAACTCAGCCCTTCCCATCCATCCCCATCAAAATAAGATCGAAAACTATTCTCTAAAGCCCTACAACCACCCAAATGAAACTAAAGTAAATGGGAAAACACAAAATCCAAATCAAAAACCAAATTGCCCCTACCATACCTAGATAAAGACTCGTCTTAAATGCCGTGAACATACAGAAGCCTCTCTTCACAAATGTATCCATGGTGATCGGATCGGCAGTACGCATGGGTATGGCAGAGAAGGGATCCGACTTCTCTTTGAGCTTGACTAAGGCGATGTCGTTTTTGTAAGGGTAGGTGACATCATAATCTGGGTGCTGAAAAAAGAGATTCGCGTTTTATACCTAACCATATAAGCACAACATATTTTCCTCAAAAAGTGTCATCAGTAAGAAAGGGCATGTTTACCCTTCTTTAGAACACCTGGTGTCATCACTGAATTTCAAACCCTTCGCTTAAATTTCACTGTAACCTCACTTTATGTCCAGTGAAATCAGTTTCAGCGAATATCGAGAGTGGTTAATCTGAGGAGTTGATGATTTACATTTTCTCGAAAATTATAGAAATGATAAAATATAGAAGGATGCTTCGGTAAAGGGACATTACTCAGTCTTACGAGACTTTCAAATAGCATATTCATAAGTTGTATGTTGTAAAACATCAAGTAAACATATATCGAAGAAATTCGATGATTATTCTAAGCGTGTCATTGTCGTTGGTAAGTAAACGGTATTCCAGGAAATCCGCGATCGTGGGTTCGAATCCAGGATTCGCTCTTATTATGTTTCTTGATATCATCATCTTCGTACTTTTCACTGAGGTGGTAAACTGTCTGAAACTTGCATGACTTTGGAATTTCGTCCCAGATGGAGAATCATATTTATGTTGTAATTCTTATCACAATTTCTTGCGTTCTTTTCACTTGTGGCAGCGACTGTTTAAAAGATAACATTTTATATGACGAGGCGGTACGTTTTAGGTTCGAGCGGGCGGGGCTGAAATCAAAGCTAAAAAGTTTTTTTTTGGGGGGTGGCAATATAATTAGGAGGGTTGCTCGGGCGATGAGAAACATAAAATATTAAAAAGCTGCCCATACGGAAAAGTAACTGATTATGTAATAATGCTAAAATCCAGCTCATGGACTAGTAAGTAATAGAATGGGAAGAGTAAACAGATTACATAAAACATATGTCAACTAATACAAATTTCAGTATACAAAATACAGTATGTCAGAGAAGTAATGTCACCAGTCGGAAACTCAGGTGGTTCGTAAAGTGTAATGCGCTGAATGTTTGTTGTTGTTGTGTGTTGGGGTTTTTTTGGGGGGGGCCTTTTTTGTGTGTGGTGTTTTTTGGGGTAGGGGGTTGTTTTGTTTTGTTTTGTTTTTTGTCTGCTTGTTTGTCTTTTTATAAATAATAATTGGCGTGAAAGGAAATGTATTGCAAACCCTGGACGAACATTGTCATTTTAAAAAGGAATTCGAATGTTGTTCATGGCAGGGTCTAGTGAGCGAGTTTCGATCTCATGACAAGAGTGAGTAAAAGTACTAGTATGTTTTTACGACGCTTTAAGCAATATTCCAGAAACCTCACGGACAAGAGGAATGGGTTTCGTAAATTGTAATTGTTAGAACCGAACCCGTGACCTCGGCGAGACGAGCAGACGCTGTATCCACCAAGCTACCCAACCGTTCCTCATTACAAAAAAAAGACATGAACCATATAACTATGTAACTACAATTGCAATTGATGTTTCAGTGTTATATCCAAATGTGGAAGCATGAACATCAAGTATTGGCATAGGTTGTGTTTGAAGAGTGAGCGAGTGAATATGGTTTATGCCGCTTCTAGTAATATTCTAGCAATATCACGGCGGGGAACACCAGAAAAGGGCTTCACACATGGTACCTCTGACGAGAATCGAACCCGGGTCTCTGGCCTGACGAGCGAACGCTTTAACCACAAGGCTACCCCGCCGTCCCTGTATTAAAAGAGGTCACACGGGATTGCCATACTTGTCACACTGATTATAGTCAAAGGATGAAACAGTGCAGAACACAGGCAATTGTGCCCTGGTTTGTTTAGTTGAGGTCCCAACACCCGAATGAGGGAAGATCCAATACATGCCAAATGAAAACATATAACAATGCTGCTTACCAAATATATGTTGGAAACACCAACATATTCTTGTACGATTCTAACTCTCAAATACCCTGATGGCAAACCAATGCTGCAATGAAATGAATAATTCATTGTAAGGTGTTCAGAGATTTACTGAAATGTGGGGCAAAAAAAGCAAACAACCGGACCAAAGAATTTAAATCGTTATCAAATGTTTCTTTGCTGAAAGAACAACAGAAAACACAAATAAAAATATCCAAAACACAACAATGTTACGTGTATCTTATACATGAGCGCTTTACAACCATTTGAAGCCAAATATATTGTATATATGAACACTTGAAACTGCGACTGAGTAATTATAAATACGGGAGTCTTTGTTGGTGGCAAAAGCTGGTTTTGAAGAACTGGAAATGAACAAGGACTGGCCAACTTGACGTTTCCAGGGAACGCAATATATGTCTATGTTCATGACATAAAAATATTATGTGCTTTCTTCCAACGTTTAAACAATAAGCATTCACTTGTAGTTCAATAAATGAATTCATCAAAATTAAGAATATTCTTTGTTACTCACCTTGTCATGCAGGAAGCAGTTGTAACAACCCACTGTGGAGAAATCAGTGTTCCGCTACAAAGTACCGGTGGACCGTATGCTGTCGCGAAAGACACCAGCCCATGTGAAGTCTCGACAACACTTCCGCTCGTAATCCTCTTCCGGCTGTGCACTGGGTTTGTTAGACCGCGCCACGCTGAAAACACCAAGCAATCTTAAATGACCTTTAATATTCAGTGTATTGTTTTGCAAAAATGTACCACTCGGGCAAAATATTTTTAAGCATATAGAAGCAATTTCGTTGTTTAATTTATATTATAATAATCTTCTAAGATGTCTCCGTTCATTACACATACTACCTCTGTATGTTACGTTAATCATCTCTTTATATCTCGCATATTCTTCCTGCATATTACACTCATTCTCTCTGTAAATCACACACACGTTTCCCGTATTTCGCACATTGTCTGTTTGTATATCACACATATTCTTCCTGAATATCAAATGTATACTCAGTATACGTTGCACTATTCTCTAAATCACACTAATACTCTCTTTAATCATAAATGTTTCTCAGTATATCACACTTGTTCTCTTTTCAAATCGCCCTTATTTGCTTTAGATACCACAAATATCCTCTCTGTAATTATTCTCGCCGTAGTATTTATATATATTTCTCTGTATATGAGACGTATTCTGCCTGTGAATCAATCGTATTCTCTGTGGTTACCACACTTCGTTCTGTATATTGCACTAATAGCCCGTATATATCACAATCATTCTTTCCGAACATGGAACTATTTATCTGTATATTCCACACTAAATGTATTAGCATATCACAATAACCTTCTCAGTATTAAGTTTATTCTCTGTGTAAATCAACGTAATTCTCTGTTCATGTCACAGTTATTCTCTCTGTATATTCCACACCAAATGTATTAGCATATCACAATAACCTTCTCAGTATTAAGTTTATTCTCTGTGTAAATCAACGTAATTCTCTGTTCATGTCACAGTTATTCTCTCTGTATATTCCACACTAAATGTATTAGCATATCACAATAACCTTCTCAGTATTAAGTTTATTCTCTGTGTAAATCAACGTAATTCTCTGTTCATGTCACAGTTATTCTCTCTGTATATTCCACACCAAATGTATTAGCATATCACACTCACCTTCTCAGTATTAAGTTTATTCTCTGTGTAAATCAACGTAATTCTCTGTTCATGTCACAGTTATTCTCTCTGTATATTCCACACTAAATGTATTAGCATATCACAATAACCTTCTCAGTATTAAGTTTATTCTCTGTGTAAATCAACGTAATTCTCTGTTCATGTCACAGTTATTCTCTCTGTATATTCCACACCAAATGTATTAGCATATCACAATAACCTTCTCAGTATTAAGTTTATTCTCTGTGTAAATCAACGTAATTCTCTGTTCATGTCACAGTTATTCTCTCTGTATATTCCACACTAAATGTATTAGCATATCACAATAACCTTCTCAGTATTAAGTTTATTCTCTGTGTAAATCAACGTAATTCTCTGTTCATGTCACAGTTATTCTCTCTGTATATTCCACACCAAATGTATTAGCATATCACAATAACCTTCTCAGTATTAAGTTTATTCTCTGTGTAAATCAACGTAATTCTCTGTTCATGTCACAGTTATTCTCTCTGTATATTCCACACCAAATGTATTAGCATATCACAATAACCTTCTCAGTATTAAGTTCTTTGTGTAAATCAACGTTATTCTCTGTTCATGTCACAGTTATTCTCTCTGTATATTCCGCTCTAAATGTATTAGCATATCACAATAACCTTCTCAGTATTAAGTTTATTCTCTGTGTAAATCAACGTAATTCTCTGTTCATGTCACAGTTATTCTCTCTGTATATTCCGCTCTAAATGTATTAATGTATCACACTAACCTTCTCAGTATTAAGTATATTCTCTTTGTAAATCAGACTTAATTCTCTGTACATGTCACAGTTATTATCTCTGTATATTACACTCATTCCCTGTATAATTCGTACATGTCATCTTAGTATATAGTATGCAAGTATTTTTCTATATTTCATTCTTATCTCTCATTGCATACACAATGCCATTTAGAAAGTGGCCAAATGTAACAAATGTTATCTTTAAGATAACACTTTCTCGGTAAAATAGACATTCTAGTTATTTTGTTGGGTTGAGTCCCACCGCGGATTTGAATGTAGACCCTCAGAGTCAGTTACCTAATCGCCAGCACACAAAGTCAGCCGTCTGATCCTCACCCCATTCCCACCTAAATTTAAGTTTCAAGCTCAGCTACAGACTTTGGACGTTCCCGATCGCTTTTTAAATCCTTTTTATATACTTCTACCTGGCGATCGTCGTTTATAGTTTGTTCTCAGTTTGAAATCGAAGTTAAAAATGTTCAAATGTCCAAATGTCTTTTATTTCCCTTAGCGTTTTACTATTAGAAAAAATAAAGGACATTGTTTTCGGTTCACAACTCACAGGGAGGTCTCAGTACATTGGAGGAAAACCATCGCAATATTCTTGCTTCCTTTAAACATATGATGGATCGATTTATTAATGAACTCAGGAAAATATGACTGCGTATCATGAGATAATGTACAAGGTCAAATCTGGCAGTTAGTTTCATCACATGAACTGTTTCACTACATATAAAGTTATATTCGAGGAAACTGTGTCTGTCAAGCTTTATGCATTTATGGAACCAAAAATGCTCTATATGGACAATTTAAAGAAGGAATGATAAATGTTTTCAAGTTGGCAATTAGCACCTAATATGCTTCGTTCCTCTAAAACCGAAACAGTAAGATATAAATGAAATTAGCAAAGGGGTGTTAAGCCCTAGTACCAGCTGGATTTGGTACTACACTAAAATTAAATACCAGGCTTGTTGTCGTCGGCGATCTCTAAACAGTCTTCCTTAGGCCTGCAAGAGACTTTTGGTGGTGAGTTCGAATCCCAGCTCATCAGCACCATACCCGTGCTCCTTGGTTTTACTAAAGTGGTAAATATACACATCCAGCATCATTTCAGGTTGTCCTCCTACGTGAACTGTGATGTGCTTGATAAATTTATAAACTGTGAAAAGGGTCATTAAACCCAACTTACTAACTCAACGTCAGCAAGAAAATGACCCTGTGTTAAGGCATGGGTGTGCCAGTAAATGACCCTTTGTCAAGGCGTGGGTGTGCCAGTAAATGACCCTTTTTCGAACACATGGGTTTGCCAGTAAATGGCCCTGTGTTCACACATGGGTTTCCCAGTAAATGACCCTGTGCTGTGTGTGAAGGTAAGATTATTATGTTAAATAACCAGGTTTGTCTATTCCTTTGCCCTGCGCAATTTCTATAACACACCGAATCAGAGGCCATCCAAAACCTCGACGGGGCCAATTATACTTATCCTGGCTGAATAAATCTATTTGCACTGTATGCAGTATAGAAATACACCACAAATAATTGGAATCTATCTACTGATGTACAGCTACAACATTGCACAACTGTTAAGCCGTGTCTTCAAATATAGGATCTTGACACGCATTTTGACGCATTTGTTTTAAATCCGGAGGATAACGCGCGAGAGTTGCCAGGTGATTTACTATTTGTAATCAAATTGATATTCTGTTTCCATGTGTAATTAGAATAGAAGTCAAGTATCTACTGTAACAGCGACGTATTCAACATGACACACATAAAATAAAATTGTGGTAGATATTCTTTGCACAGCACTGCATGCTATGGATTTGTGGTTTAGTTTATGAACTCATGGTTTCCATGTAACAGTGATTTCTTATGATCTACTAAAAAGATTCTTCTTTACCCCCCCCCCCACACACACACACACACACCGCCATTCCCCATAAAAACAAAAGTTAACAAAGTTAATTTAATTAAAAAAACGAAACTCCAAACAAACAAAGTTAACAAACCAACAAACAAAAATATTAAACGGAAAAGATTCTGACTGACATCTTAAAAACCGGGTTATTACACTACAGTATATCTGTCTGGGTGAAAGAAAGTTCGGTTCAACGAAGCCGATGTAACGAAGGCGATCACACTGTGACTTAACATAACATCACTGCCACAGGCTAATTAGCATATCACGTGACCGGACTTTTCTCTTGTTTGTAATCAAACGCGCATATTCATAATAAGAAGAGACTGGACTCACCAAAGCTTTTCGGCGCTCTCTTCATAATGTTTTACATTGTTACATATATATTCTTCCACAACTACGACAGTAAGGTCTATGACAGTACATACTTAGATATCAAACTGGCTGCATCGTTTGCTCTCCAGCAGCTTCGATGACAGCACGTGGAGCCGTACAACCTATGTAAACAAAGGATCGCTACGCAAATCGAAATAGTGTTACATGTTTCAGGGTATCTTCTCAATGAAACTAAACCATTCTATCAAAGATGTTTAATTAGTTGTGTAGACTCGTCAAAAATAAAAGAGTTGAGAAATATGTAAATTAAATTGAAAGGACGGTGCAAGATGTGACGAATCGTCACATTTTTCTGGCCTGTGGCAGAGATATTATGCTGGCTTGCAGCATGGAACTCTGGATAGGAGAGTGGAAGGCGATGCATTTAGCCAGTAGTTTTGCAAATAACTTACTTACAAACAATCACGACACCAACAACTTCTTCAATCCAAAACACTACATATTTAATATATCTAAAAAGATCTCTCAACAATTTACAAAGCGATGCTCATTTCTCCCGTATAAATCAGTCCATAATATTAGAATATGACGAGCTGTTGAAATTAACATCATCCGGATCCTTGTTATATACACATTAACACCCACATATAAATGTCAGCGTCGTTGTGTACCCCAAGATGGTGTGTATGTGACGTCCCTAACAAGACGTTACAAACAGGGTTTGGGTGAATGAGTGGGTCGGTGGTTTACTCCGCTTTGAGCAATTAATCTTTAATCACAGATTCCTGGCTTACCTAAAGGATGCAGCTCTGTACATTCAATTACATGAAATTAGACTACTTTTGGACTCATTTAAACCTTGGTAGCAACAGGCGGGGATGCATTATAAGAAGGTAAAAGCCTATGCTGATATTTATGTAATAATCCTATATACGTAGTATCGAAATCATCTTTTATTTTCCAATTTTCCAGTAAGTTATACAATAAG